GATCAATTGTACCAAGAGATCAGTGTGCTGAAGGCACGGCTGGAAAACATGAAGACTGAGGTATGAGTGGGTTCTGATCTGTTTCTGGGCTTCACCAGAGCAGGACAGATTTTAATATTAAATTTTCTTCACATCGATACTTGTTAGACCACATCTTAAAGGGGATTAATTAGTAGAAATGTCAAAGCCAGAGGACCTGGTCTTCCCATGGTCTCAACTCTAATGCATTTCTATTGTCCTGGCTTTGAGAATAGCATTGAAGCCAAGCTCCAGTGTCCCTCGGAGATAACCATGACCACCAAATGGCTGTGAAGTGTAGTGAGAAAGACCTGTTCTCAAATGGTGATAAGAAGGCTTGACTTCCAACTCTGATGGCTGTTTGCAGCGAATGGTGCTATAAATATACCTGCTCCTCAGACCCAGAGCTGGTCACAGGCTTTATTCACTGGGACAGGTGAACATGTCTCCTTCCTGATTCCAGCTCATTCATTGCTGCTCCCAAGCCACTCTAACAGGACCAGAATACCCCCACCGTCGTCCCCTGTTGCTGCTGATTAGATGGCTTATAATGACCTCCAGGCTCAGCTCTCAGGAGGCCTTTGGGAGTGGGCTTGTTAGGAAAACCTAGGTGTTTATTTGGTCGGTGCTGGACACATGGTAGGACCTGCTTCTCCGCCCAGCACACCTGACCCACAGCAGTGCGGCCACCAGGTGCGTTACCTAAGTCCCTCCCACAGAGCCAGCGTGCTGTCCTGCAGCTGAAGGGCCGCATCAGCGAGCTGGAGGCCGAGCTGGCGGAGCAGAAGCACCTGCGGCAGCAGGCGGCCGATGATAGCGAGTTCCTGCGGGCGGAGCTGGATGAACTCAAGAAGAAGCGAGAAGACACAGAGAAGGCGCAGCGGAGCCTGACGGAGATAGAAAGTGAGAAGCTGGTGGGGGTGGGGGTGGGGGTGAGGGGGTGGGTCAGGGAGATCAGGATGGAGGAGGAGGCAGGGTGGCAGAGCCCCACCCTGCTTTGCATCTGTCCAGAGGAGCTATCAGGAAGGCCAGCTCTTGCCACCAGTCAAAGGTCAGCCGGGAGTCCAGCAGGTGGAGCACCTGTGTGAGGCACTGCTGAGAACACAGCGATGGGGACTACAGAAGGTGACAGGGGTGCCAGGAGCGTGGCTCTCCGTAGGAGAGAAAGAGCCCAAGAAATGACTTAAAGCAAAAACACTGATTAAGTAAATGCACGTGTGTAAATGCTCAGGAGGCATGAATTGGTGATTTGAGTCAGGTGAATTCTTTTTAAAAGACTTCCCCCAGGAGTTTAAGTAGGATTTTTGAGGGAGAAGAGATGTTTGCATCTGTGAAGAGAAATGAGGGTCTTCTGGGGACTCTGGCTTCCTGGAGGGCCGGTGGAGGGTCCTAGCTGGGTAGCGTCCTCACCTTGGTCCTTGACCACACAGGGAAAGCCCAGGCCAATGAGCAGCGGTACAGCAAGCTGAAGGAGAAGTACAGTGAGCTGGTGCAGAACCACGCTGACCTGCTGCGGAAGGTAGGACCCTCAACCTCCCTCTCACCACGCAGAGGCCCCGCACCACAGGGGAAGGAACAACCGGGGCCTCATGGCGTCTCCGGGTCCAGCACCCCAACTAGTCTCCGGTAGGTCCCCACCATTTCTTGGGAACCTCAGCTTTCAGGCTCCCTTGCCTCGCATATCTTGAGCTCCACCTTAGATGCTAGCCCCACTTGCATTATCCCCCATTTTTATTATTTCTTTAAATATTTAAGAGTTGATCTCTGCAGATGACAGCTTTCTTCTGGCTTCCCTCTGGGTAGGACAGTGGTTTCTGTGTCCAACTCTAAGCCACTCTCGATCTGAATGCTGCCATTTGTTCTAGAAGGAAGATGTCCTTTAAGCCCGTGATGAGCCACTTCAAGACAATGTTCTCCCCTTACAGAATGCAGAGGTGACCAAACAGGTGTCTGTGGCCAGACAAGCCCAGGTGGATTTGGAACGAGAGAAAAAAGAGATAGAGGATTCCTTCCAGCGCGTGAGCGAGCAGGCCCAGCGAAAAGTGAGTGGGAGGGAGACATACGTGAGGGCCATCCGAGTTGGAGGCAGGCCTTGATCAAAGACCTTGTCGTCTTCTGCTCCATCGGTAGCTAGCTCTGTGGGTTGGAGCCCTGTGAGGGTGCTACGAGAGGCTGTATAGAATAGATCGTGGTTACCGAGGCACAAGGGTTAGAAGTGAGGCATGGACGCAAGCTGAATGAGGTTCATCAGCAAAGGCCTTCCCGGGGAGAGTCCTCAGGAGAATCTGGAGTAAAAGCACATGGATATCAGAGAGAGGAACGAGTGTTTACAAGGAGTTGCAGCCAGGTGAACACCGTGGGTCAGGGTGGGGTTGGCAGGCAGGTCCATTGGGAGGGATTTCACACTTCCTGTAACCCAGAGTAAAAAAATACATCTATCTAATCAAAACAAGAGTTTCACAAAGCAATACTTATCCTTACTGTGTGATTGCATCTGGGTAATTTGTTCTGCCTTTTCATTTTTTTTAATGTTAGCTGTGAATTTTACTAATGGGTTACAAACCACACTTTTGAAATCAAAGAAGGGCAATCATTTTTAGATGGCAAGATTTCGCAATGTACCAGTGTTGGGATGCCTGAATTAAAGATCCACTTCTACTTTAATGAGTATTATGGGCTTAACCATGGCACTCAGACAATGTCCTTAAAATTACCCCCCTTGACATTCCACTTGCTCAGAAGAAAAAATTTTGGTACACTCTGAGTTCTCACCTCCCCACTCCCCTTTTTTGCTGAGTAATTTTGCATACGAAAGAGTACACAAATCTCATTTATAGCTCAGGGATTTTTTTTTTTTACATATGTTTATCCCTTGTAATCACCACCCAAATCAGGTGCTCCTGCTTTTCTTCTCTTTCAGACTCAAGAACAGACAGAAGTACTAGAGAACTTGAAGCAGGAACTTGCCACCAGCAAACAAGAACTCCAGGTTGTCCAAGGCAGCCTGGAAATGGCTGCCCAGGTGAGCACCACCTTCCTTCTTCCCCTTCCTTATTCCTTCCCCTCTGGCTTTCATGTGGCTGTCACCGAGCCCCTGTCACCATGCAGCATATGGCCAACCTGGTCCCATCTGTGATCAGTGTGTACTCAGGGAAATGAAACTGGCAGGTTAAGAGATATCACCTTCTGTTCCTTGTGGCCTAGCGGTGGGTTTGGACTTCTGGGGAAGGGACAGTTTAATTCCTCCCAGCAGCTCTCTCTTCCCACTCGGTCGCCATTGCAGTCAGAAGGAAAATGGGTGACCCAGATTGCTGAACTGGAGAAGGACCGGGGCCGTTTGGTGAATGCCATGGCTCGTCGAGAAGAGGAATTCTCTGCTCTTCAGGAACAGCTGGAAAACACCCAGCTCAAACTGTCCAGCACACAGGCAAGTAGCAGACACCCTTGGCTGACCATGTTCAACTTCACTCCCGGGCCTCAGCGGCATATCATGGAGGCTGGGGGCTGTGGAAGGGGTTTGGGGCCCCCAGCCTGATTGTGAAGGCATCTGTAGGAAGAGCCCCTGATGCCAGCATGCCCTGAGTCACCCACAAAGCAGACGAGGGAAAGCACAGCTCTCCTTTATTGTGCGAAAAAGGGGTGCACCTAGCACTGTCTCCCCAAGATTGGAGAATGGGTTGCAGTGACCCATTCCCATAGCCTTCTGTGCTCAGTGGCACACACTTTGGACAAAGAAAGCAGCAACTTGAGTTAAGACACCAGGAGTCCCAGCTGTGTCACAGATGGATGCTGCTTGAAGGCTCTTATGGAGTCTGTGGCAGACTCTCACCTCCCTGGACCATTTCTAGGAATCTATGTGCCAGCTCGCAAAGGGCCAACGAAAAATGCTTCTGGCAGAATCAAGGAAGGCGGCAGAGCAGGTGATACAAGAGGCCCTGAGGCAGCTTGAGGAGCCCACTCTCATCAGCTGTGCCGGATCTGCAGGTACTCTTCCTGGCTTGCAGGTGTTGAATCCTGTTGGCATTAAATCCCATGTGACACTGTACTCAGGTTCTCAGCCTGGCTGCACGTCAGAATTGTCTGGGCGTGCCTGGGCCCCAAGATCAGTTCAGTAGTAAGCTCTTTGGTGTAGGGCAGTGTCAGCATTTTGAAAAACCCTAACTTAACTCTGGTGCCGTGTCACATAGAGAAATTTTTTGATCTTTACAACCATAGTAAAACAAAGATGTATATTTTTGATATTTATTTTATATATTTAAATGCCATTTAACAAAGAAAAATCAACCAAAAAAATGAGTTCGCCATCACTGGTGTAGGGCCTGGGCAGCAGTACTGTCTAAAGCCCCAGCTGTGCTAACTACTGCTTTAGTCATGGATCACACCAGTGCAACGTCTACTGGGAGCTGAGCCTTGGTGACAATTCTAAGGGCCGGTAGGAGGAGGAGCAGACAGCCCTGCGTCTCAGGAGGAAAATGTGCTCTAAATTAAGGGGTGGTTGCTCATGAGCTTCAAGTCGAGACAGGGAGGCTTCAAAGTGTGGAGGGACAGAAACAATAAAAGTCCTCACATAGTCATAGGTATGAGCAGGGCCTACTTGGCATGTACCAGATCCTAAGCAGTGGTTCTCAACCTTCCTAACGCCGCGACCCTTTAATGCAGTTCCTCATGTTGTGGTGACCCCCAACCATAAAATTATTTTCGATGCTACTTCATAACTGTAATTTTGCTACTGTTATGAATCGTAATGTAAATATCTGATATGCAGGATGTATTTTCATTGTTCACGACCCACAGGTTGAGAACCGCTGTAAGGGCTTGCGAGTAGTGCAGCCATCCGAGCTAGAGAAGCCCTCTGGGTGAGAGGAGAGAGCCTTTGTGCACAGTAGGAGAGCATCCAGGCCCATGGGATTTGAAGTCATAGTGATGAGCAGATCTCATTACAGCTCATTCTCAAGCAGAAAAGACATGTTGGCAAAGCAATGAGAGCTTCCATTGAGCACGAGGCAGATGAGAAGAAACGGCTAACAGTTGATTTTTATTATCACATAGAAAGGTCTCGGTGTGGTGAAGTATACAGCAAGGACTGTTCTATCTTATTCAACAGGGAACCCATCTGTAAGGAAACACAACAGTTACAAATGAAGGAGCACACTGAGTACCTAATGTGCTGAGGGAATGCCAGGAAGTGGGGCCGATGCGGGCAGATTCAGAGATGTTAGGAGCTAGCTTTTGAAAGAAGAGGAGAGACATGAACCATGGAGAAGAGAAGTGGGGAATAATAATAATAAAAACAGCTGACAATTTCCTGAGTGCTTTCTGTGTGCTCTAAGTGCTTTATATGCCTTAGCCCAGCGAATCCTCGTAGTGATGCCAGAGGTGATGCTATCAGTTTTCTGTTTTCAGATGAGGAAGCACAGACAGCACGAGATCACAGCCTAGGGGTTGAGCCACACCTAGGCCGTGCAACCGAAGGGCCCATGCTGTAACTCGTGTGATACAGTCTCCACACACCTGTGCACAGAGGCACAGCCGTGGGAATGACTGTTGTGTGTGGAGCACACGCACAGATTAGCCTGATGGGAGCCAAGGATCTGGGCTCAAGGTTAATGAGAGTCCAAGGGCCTTGAAAGACTTAACAGAAAAGCCTGGATTTGATACAATGGGCAGTAATGAGAAATGAGACGCAGAATCTGGGCTGGCAATGTGGTGGCCCTGGTTCTCGGCTAAAGACCAGACAGGCTCAGAAACACAGCTTTTGAAGCTGCCATAAGAGAATCACGTACCAGAGTAACCAACAAGCTTCTCTCCCTTCCCTCTTCTCAGGGCAGCTCCTGTAGGGCTGGGGCCACTCACTAGGTAGGCTCATCCATCAAGTGACTTAACAGGGATGAATGAAACAAGCTAGGACAACTCTCACTTTCACTTTGCCCTGTCTTTCCTCCCACAGATCACCTTCTCTCCACGGTCAAGTCCGTTTCCAGCTGTATTGAACAACTGGAAAAATGCTGGAGCCGGTATATTGCCTGCCCAGAAGGTAACAAAGGCAAAGGATAGGGTCTGTCACCAGTGATGGCAGGGCAGGACTCAAAAATGCTTGAATGTAGAAACATGGGTTCCTATGCACCAAGCAAGGAGTGTGTACAACTCATAAAGCAGGGAGGGAGGAAAAATGAAAGTGGCTAAGTGGTTAGAGCGTCAGCCCGTGCACCAAAGGGTCTTGGGTTCAATTCCCGGTCAAGGTCACATACCTGGGTTACAGGTTCAACTCCCAGCCCCACTTGGGGTTCATGTGGGAGGCAACTGGTCGATGTCGGTCTGTCTCTCATTCCCTCTCCTTCCTACTCCCTCCCTCCTTTCCATTCTCTCTAAAAATCAATGGAAAAAAATACCCTCAGGTGAGGATTAACCAAAAAAAAAAAAAAAGAAAGAAAGAAAGAAAGAAAGCGATACCCCTCAAGCAGGACTGAGAAATTTTCCTTTAAACCCCTGGCAGATATCAGTGGGCTTCTGCACTCAGTAACCCTCCTTGCCCACTTGACCAGCGACACCATTGTTCACGGCGGCACCACCTGCCTTAGAGCCCTGCCAGAGCCTGCTGATGGTGAGTACCAGAGCTGGGGGGCCATTCAGAGGAGCGGGAGGAGCAGAGGGCCTTTAGAAGTCTCTGTTGCCTTGCATCTCCAGCACTGACCGAGGCCTGTAAGCAGTATGGCAAGGAAACCCTCCTCTATCTGGCTTTCCTGGAGGAAGAAAGAACCCCTGAGAATGTCGACAGCACAGCCCTGAGGAGCTTCCTCAGCAAGATCGCGGCCATCGGCGAGGTATTATCAGTATTATCTTTCGGGGAAAGTTATTGTTGTTCTTGGGTGTGAGTGCTGGTGGTTTGCCAGGAAGTCGGTGAGCCAGTTCTGAGCCAGTTCTTTCTGCACTTTAAACGTGATTCTAGAAAGTGAGAGCGCTGAAAAATTTGACCTCCCTGAATGACATTCTAGTTACAGTTAATTCATTGGCTTTAATTAAGAATCTGCTCTGTGGTCATCATTAGGAAGTATCAAAGAAGAATAAGCACAGTTTTTCTGTTTTCAAGGATTTTTTTGTGGTTGGACAGGTTAACACCTAAAATGGAGATAATGGCCCTAACCGGTTTGGCTCAGTGGATAGAGCGACAGCCTGTGGACTGAAAGGTCCCAGGATTGATTCCGGTCAAGGGCATGTACCTTGGTTGCGGGCACATCCCCAGTAGGAGGTGTGCAGGAGGCAGCTGATCGATGTTTTTCTCTCTCGATGTGTCTAACTTTCTATCGCTCTCCCTTCCTCTCTGTAAAAAAATCAATAAAATACATTTTAAAAAGTAATAAAAATAAAATGGAGATAATGATATATTTATTCATTCAATAAAGATATAGTGAATATGTCCTATATACTGGGATTTGTGCTAGGTGTAGTTGTATAGGAACAAATAAGACATGGTCTCTAGAGGAAAGGAAAATAAAGAAAGCTGCAATTTCTATACAGTGCGATGAGAAGTGAAATAGAGCTCTATTTTGAGAGTACAGTACAAGGCAGCATTTAATTAATTCCTAAAATGTGTGGTGATAAGTTCAGGAAAGAAAGACATCAGGGCCAGAGTTCAGATCCTCATTCTCTCATTTGAGTGCTTTAAACAGCCTTCTGATTACTCTCTCTGCCTCGGGCCTCTTTTTTCTCTGCTCTCTTCCAAAAACAGAGATCTGATCAGGATTCCTCTAGTTTGATACCAAAAATCATATGTAATGTGACACACAAGGACCTCCAGAGTCTGGGCTTTATCCACCTTTCTGGGCCCCTCTTGCACTCTCCCTTCACCTTACAGTTGGTGGCTAACACTGTGATGTGCCTGCTTACCTATCTATTTCCCCCCAATGAGTTCTCAGAAGTAGAGCCCATACCTTCTTCATATTGTATCCCTGGTCCCTGGCATAATATCTGGCAGGTGGTTAACACCCAAGTGTTTACTTAATTGAATATGGAGAGAGAGAGAGAGAGAGAGAGAGAGAGAGAGAGAGAGAGAAACAAACCAGATAAAAAGATGGATCGGATGGGGGAGGAATGTTCATACTGGGGAGAAATAGGCAATGAAGTAGAGACCCTTGAATGTCTGGATAAAGGAAGACTATGGAGAATGGTGAATTGCTAACCTCTATTTCAATAGGGTGACATGATCATGATGACATTTGGTATTATTAAGTTGGTGTGTCAGCCTAGGCAACATTAACACAGTCTGCCTTTTGTTGAAGATAAAGCATCTTACCCCGTATAGTGCAGAATTGAGAAGTCAATATATGGGGCAAAGTATGTAGGACACCATGAAGAGATAAAAATTAAATTACTGAAAGCAAAGCAAAGTGTGATAGAAAGATCATGGCAGTTTTCCTTCCTGGCACTAGGGCTTACCGGATGTAGAGAATCTTCCCGGGACATGGAAAATGCTGAATAAAATGGGGGGGGGGGAGGGGGGAGACGGGGGGGTTTGCAGTAACTATGTTTATTGTGACATGTTAAAGACTTTTTTTAAAAATATTTTTTTATTGATTTCAGAGAGGAAGGGAGAGGGAGAAATAGAAACATCAATGATGGGAGAGAATCATTGATTAGCTGCCTCCTATACGTCGAGCCTGCAACCTGGGCATGTGCCCTTGACTGGAATGGAACCTGTGACCCTTCAGTCCACAGGCCGACACTCTATCCATTGAGCCAAACCAGCTAGGGCTAAAGAACCTTTTAAAAGTTATTAAAAGCAAGACAAAGGAATAAGATAGTTTCAAATGTAAGCAGATATATTTGAAAAAGAACCATCAAACTTCTAGAAGTGAAAAATATAATCATTGAAAGTAATAACTTTAAAATATATAGATTCACCGGCAAGTTAAAACAAAGCTGAAGAAAGAATTAGTGAACTGGAGGAATTATCTAAATATGGCACAGATTTTATAAGTTGGAATGTAATGGCTATATATAGACTATTTAATCAGAGTTCCAGAAGATAACAGAAAGACTATGTTCTCCCCACCCCCAGCAACATATTGTTAATTCTATGCTTTTTCCAACATTCTTGTGTGTGAGGTTTATCCATTTGGATATGTTCATTTTCACTCCTCTGTTGTGCTCCATTGTGTGCATATTGCTTAATTTCTGTTATATCTGTTCTCTTGTTGATGCACATCAGGGTTATTTCCAGTTTGGGGCTATTATGAATGTGTCACTGTGATCATTCCTGTACACATCTCCTGATGAATGAGTGCAAGAATTTCTCTAGAGTGTATATATGTAGGAATCGAATTACTAGTTTATAGGATGAATTTCACACACAGTAGTAACTGCCTCATATGATTGCTGTGGGAGCAAAGTTAAATAAGGGGCAGGCTGTCTGGTTGGAAGACATTATCTACATTTCAAGAGGTTTTTAAAACACATCCCAAGCAGCAAACACGATCAGCTGTGCAGCTGTGGGGTTAGGGTCCAAGCAGCTGCAACTGAATGGCCTTGTGGGGTTAAGCAGGGTTGGCCTTCTGGAAGGAGATGGGTTCTGAGTGAAGCTAGAGGGGGTGGAACATGAGGTTCCAGAGTTCACATGGTAGAGAGTTCCAAGCAAGGCCTATAAGGGCTGCCCCTCCATGGCTTGCAGAAGTGTGTTGTGTGGTGGGGCCCTCCCATCTTCTGCCATCATGTGGGGATTACAGGTCTGCCACCGGAGAAAAGAGAAGAGGTTAAAGGGTCATTTCAGCCCGTGTGATGTGTTCACAGGAGCTCCTGCCCAGAGGCCTGGACATCAAACAGGAGGAGCTAGGAGACCTGGTGGACAAGGAGATGGCTGCTACTTCAGCTGCCATTGAAACTGCTACAGCCAGAATAGAGGTATGGAGCCCTGGCCAGTGTTCTCAGTGATGGAGCATCAGCCTGTGCAGTAAAGGGTTGTGGGTTTGATTCTTGGTCAAGGGCATGCACCTGGGTTGCAGATTCAATCCTGGCCCTGGTCAGGGTGTGTGCAGGAGGCCACCAATTGATGTGTCTCTCTCATGTCAGTCTCTCTCTCTCTCTCTCTCTCTCTCTCTCTCTCTTTCTCCCCACCCTCCCTTCCACTGTCTAAAAATCGATGGACAAAAATATCCTTGGGTGAGGATTAACAAAACAATAGAGGTATGGAAGTGTCTCAAGATCTAAAGTGATGCTCTTGCGGCTTCCCTTTGGCAACATTTCCTATTGATATATCTTAGTTGTTCATTAAGGCTTTAGAGGCTCCCTATAAAAATAAACCAAAACCAGAATATACCAGGATCTCTCCGGGGTAGAAAATGAGAAAGTCCTCACCACTAGAAGGTGAGCAATTTCCTCAAGGATCAACATACTTTGGTATCAGGCTATCTTGCATTCAAGTTCCAGATTGATTGACCACTTACTAACTGCATGACTTCCAATAAGTTACATTAACCTCGCTAAGATTCTGATTTCAAAACCAATGACAATGCTTGTCTCGGAAAAGCTGAGTGGGCCCCATTGGAAAGGTCACAGATTGCCCACTTTGGAGTGAGTACCTGCCTATAGGACCTGGTAGCAGCTGCCCCTCCCAGCATGGTGCCATAGCTCTCAGAGTTCTGTGCACACCAGCCTGGGTTCCAGAATGTCAAGACACTGGCAGAGACAGCCTGCTGTAGCTGCCCGCACTGAGTAGATCACAAGTTTACTTGTAGATTCTTTTCCTGATTCTCACAAGGATGTGGATGGGCTCTTCTAGATTTGGATATTGGACCCAAAGTGTAGTGGGACGCCAGTAGGTTCTCAGTACCTGTGACGTGTTAAAAAAAACCCTGCTTCTCTTTAACAGGAGATGCTCAGCAAATCCCGAGAAGGAGACACAGGAGTCAAATTAGAGGTGAACGAAAGGTCAGTCTGAACAGCATGGTGGTGCGTAGGTGATCAGGGTCAGTCTTGCCTGCACTGGTTTATACTAATTAGAATAGAACACTAGCAGCCACAGGGAAAGATTGAGTCTACTAATATGTAATTGTCAATAACAGTATTAATGATGGAGATAGTATCACTGTTGCATTATAGGGGGAAAGAAAACCCCAGGAATCCTCACTTAGCTATTCCTTATGAAGAAGATCCACAGTCCAGCCTCCTCACTCACCTGCCTTACTTCCCATTCCAAGTATGCCTGTGTTTAGGAATGAGAAAGAGAACAGTTTTCTTCATTGGTATTAGTTCTGTATCCTCACCGTTTTTTTTTTCCCCCAGGATTCTTGGTTCATGTACCAACCTAATGCAAGCTATTCAGGTCCTGATTGTGGCCTCGAAGGACCTCCAGAGAGAGATAGTGGAAAGTGGCCGGGTAAGCGTGGGTGAGGGCCCGGGAACAGGGAGAACAGACATTAGTTAGTCATTAGTTACAGATTCCCAGCTCACTGAGAGGCTAAGTCTACACGAAACACTCATCCACATTCAGTGAGATCTATGTATGTTGCCTTCTCGCCCTGTGTGTCCATCTGAGGGCGCAGCTGCCGTCCCTGGGGATGTCAGCAGATGCCATGGGAAGAAGCTGGAACACTGCCAGGTCCCCAGAGAGCAGCCAGGCACATCTTCCAGCTCCCGGCTCATGAACCCAGGCGACATCGTTGGAGCCTGCTGGGGAAACCAAGTGTGCATTGCAAGTCTGGGCCCTTGGAGGAGGAAGTGAGAGGTTTTGAAAACTAGACAAATCGGAAGAATGAACCTGCTGCTGACTTTCACAGTGGGCTCTGCCGTGTCTCTTTCCAACAGCAGTCAACTTGCAGTGCTTCACAGACTCGCCCTCAGTCTTGTCTTGACATTGTCACTTGGATTTCCTCACTCCTTTGTTGGCATTATTGCCATCTTGTTTTTTTCTCATATCCCTGAAGCAGCTGCAACTAAGAGACAAAGATCCAGGGAGGGTTTATGAGCCTGAAAGCAATCATATAAGGAACGAAGCCATATCTGTTTTGGTGGTGCTTTTTATCCGTCTGAGAGATGTTGTTTTTGGTCCCCAAAATTAGAAAGAAGGACTGAGCAAGGAGTATCTGTAGATTCTCAGACTATCAGGTACTTTCAAAGCATTAATACATTTTTTAAATCCAAGTAGAAATAGTTTTTTAAAATTATTCACTGTATGCCCTCTTCTTTTGGCAAATCATGGAGAGCAGCTAGACTCCTCTGAAATTGTTATTCATAAATATGTGTGTGTGTGTGTGGTGTGTGTGTGTGTATATATATATTTATACACACACACACACACACACACACATACACATACATACAATTTGGAAATATAATAAAAATGCCATGGGTTTTGGAGTCAGAAGAGCCTAGGATTTACTTTCATTTATTTCCTGCATGACCTTGGGAAAAGTATTTTTGCCTCTCAAAACTTTATTTTTCTTATCTGTAAAATGGGAATAATAATGCTTGCCTCTCAGAGTGGCTGTGAAAATTTATATGAGGTAATATATATATAAAAGCACCTGGCACACAGGAGGCACTCAAATAAAAAGGTAGCTATGATTATTTCTCACTTCTCTAGGGCACAGCATCTCCTAAAGAGTTTTATGCCAAGAATTCTCGATGGACAGAAGGACTCATTTCAGCCTCCAAAGCTGTGGGCTGGGGAGCCACTGTCATGGTGTAAGTGTCTTTGGGTCCCAAGGCTCCTCACCCACCCCCATTTCATTGATCACCCCAGAGAAAACTAAGTGGGGGGGGCGGGATATCCCCACTAGAATACACTGTTGATAAGGAAGTCAGTAGGACTAAGTTTAAAAGGAGACTGGGTCTCCTGGGGCAGCACAGGCAGGCTGT